TGGCACACGCATAAGGCGCCCCAGAGGGACACCGAGAAGCTGCCCATCAGTGGGCAACGGGAAGGGGTTCTCGACGTGGGAACTTTCATGTTCTGGAAGCTTGAATCCTGGGACTCAGTTAGGGTTAGGGTTAGGTTAGATCGCCTTTGGAGGCCAAACTGAGGAAGAGAGAGGGAGCCCAGGGACGAGGCCGCCCCACCCAGCTGAGGGGCGTTTGCTGGGCAGGGAGGAGCCAGTGGCCCTGCCCCAAACCGGCTCCTTGTGCAGACACAGCAGCCCTGCCCTGAGCCCCACTCTCGGTGAGAACCTGAAGGTCCCGTTCTGCAGCGAGCTGACTAATGGTGACGAGTGTCTGCAAACCCGGTCAGCTTGGGCTTTCTTCCCTCCTCTTCCTTCCTTGCACAGCCTCGTACAGAGGTCCAGCCGTGTGGTCGCCCCAGTGGCCAGACCAGAGTCTGGAATTCAGAGCAGGAGACAGGCAGGAAGCACTTGGCCTTCCCACGGCAATGCTCAGGCCCAGAGCACAAACTCCCGGCCAAAAACCACGTCTGGGGCTCTGCTGGGCAGGAGTCTTACAGTGAAGGATCGTCCACGGCGGAAAGAGTGAAATGGAATAAACAGAAAAAGCCAGGGTTTGCAGAAAGGCAACTAAAGTTTGCTGCATGTAAAGTCAGAGATATTAGCACAGACACAGCCTCCTAAAAAGAAAAACACAGCCAATTTTGTTCAGAATTACATCCCAGCAGCCTAAGAAGCCAGGCATTCACCTAATTAGACAGCAATAATAAGGTATATTACTGGCTTCTATTTTTATTTTCACAGTTTGTCAAATTTCCTAAGAAGTTACCTCAAAGCTGATTTGAGAATCAGAAGAAAATTCAATATTCAAATTAAGAAGTCATCTCACAGAATCTAGCAGATGAATAGACTTCCATTAGCAAAATGAGAGAGACAAATTTTCCTAGAACAAATTCCCAAACAAATAGAAATTTCTCATGCTTTCTCACCAAAATGCCAGCTGCCCCCAGTGCTTCCGAAAGACAGTTCCCTCTGGAGAATGAGAAAGTTCTCTGGGGAGAGAGGCACCGGCATTGAGTAGGCAGTCCCAGTGTGGAGAGGAATATGGCCCCGCCAGACACGCAAACACCCACTACACTCTCACAGTGATCACAGCGCAGGGTGGGCCCCAAGCAGACGGGCGGAAGGGACAGGATGGCACATCCCTGCGTGTCCACACGGCCGCTTGCGTGTCCACTCGGCCACTGAGCCCTGGGATGTGGTGGTCCTGATGGAGAACAGCACACCCAGTCTTGTGAGCCAAAAAGGCAACCAATGCATTAATCTTGTGTTTATACTGCCTGCACATTGAAGTGATATTTGGATATATTAAGTTAAACATATTAAAATTAGTCTTACCTGTTTCTCTTTATTTTTTTAACATGGCTCCTAGAAAATTTTAAATTATGCACGTGGCTTGCATTGATATAAAAGATTCAGGAACAGACCCAAGTTCAATTGGAGATTCAATATATAACATGGAGATTCAATATATAACAAAGTTGGGGGAAAGATGGGCTTCCTAAAAATAAATGACACTGGGACAGTTAGGAAGTCATTTAGAAACAGGTAAAATTAGATGCACACCTCACACCTTTACGAAAGGAAACTGCAATGGACCATATCAAAATTAACAAACGAAACCACACAGGAGCTAAATACTGAAATGTGGGTAAATTCCTTTGCAGGCGGGGTATGGGGACTCAAAGCTCTACATACAATAAAAGAAAAGACACAAATTCAGTGACATAAAATCGCATCCTGCCCATGAAAAAAGGGAGCATAAGAAATGAAAATGACGAGCAGGGAGGGCACATCTGGGAGTTATGTGCCAATATCCCGAACATATAAAGACTCTTAACAATCAGGGTGGGGAAACAGGAGAATGGGCAAAATACAGAACATGCCTAACACACAACGTAAAAATGGGCCAGAGGCCCAGGTTCACTCACACCCAGGAAGTGCCAAGCGGACACGCAGAGGTGGACAGCTCACGGCCAGAGGCTGCGGGGACAGGCAGGCCTCACACGCCTACAGGCCGGGGCTGCACACGGTGGGGGTGGAGGGGTCAGGAGGGATCTAACGAGATTGCATATCCCTTTCCACTGGGATCTGCAACCCCACCTCTGGGAATGTGTCCTGAGGACACACCTCCGGCAATGGGGAGACACATGGACAGACATCCTCGTTACCGGGCATTGCAAGCATGGAACAATCTGGAACTGCAGAGCAGTAGCCCAGATGGGGGTGTGCCTCGAAGGCTCGGTTCTGGGGGATAAGATGTGCCAGCAAACCCTGGCTCCAGAAAAGAGAGGGGGAGGGGTCAGGGACAGAGCTTCCCTTCCCCGATGTAGCACGTGACACGCGAACCTGGAGAAGGGCAGGCTGAAGAGATGGCCGAGGGCAGGGCAGTGGCTGGAAACAACACAAAGTCCCAGGTGCCAGAGCCGCTCGTGTGGGGTTGGGGGGAGCTGCCCTGAAGAGGTCAAGGGCCCCACTGTAACTTGTTGAAAGAAACCAGGGTGGTTTTTGGGGGGTAGAATGACCAGACCAGTGTCCTGGGGGAACAGTGTAGCGGGGTCAGCAGCCGTCCAGATCCCCAGGGAGATGCCTCACACCCAGTAGGCTGCAGACAGCCGGGGTCCTTGGGCTGTTAGGGAAGAAAGGGCGAGGGGCCAATGACAGAAGGAGGGCAGGAAGGAGGGCAAGATGCAGAGTGAGGACATGGAGGTGAAGCAACTCCCTGGGTTGTGCCATTCGAGCCCGTCCTGCTGTGGTTTCCACACTCGCTGGCTGTGGCCACAAACTGAAAAGCAAACTGCAGGCTCAAGGGCGCTGTAGCTGTGATGCCCCACTCCTCCAACTTCCTTCGGACGACCGGTGCGGGGTCCGTCCACCGGCCCTTGCAGAGGGCCCCTCTGGTGCACACCGTCCACCCAGCTGCAGGCAGGCAGGGTCTCTCTGTACAGGGCATGTTGGGAGCGCCAGCCTGGAGAGGCGGCTGGTGGCGAGGTGTGCAGACTGGGATGCAGAGAAGCACCTCCCAGCCCCCTCAGCAGGTCCCTGCCCCCGAGGGCCCCACTCCTCAGATGTGTGGAAAACTTGCTGTGCTGTAATGCATTTCTTTGGCAACTGTGACCCAAGAGGGAGCCAGGCCTGCACTGAGAGCAGAAGATAACCGGGCTCTGGGAGGGGGACCGGCAGGCAGCTGCCCAAGCAGCCCCTGTGCAAGGCGAGGATCCCCATGCCATGCCATCCCTCGGGTGCCCTGGTACCCTTCACCCAGCTCCTCCCAATGGTTACATCTTGCAGAACTGTGGTGACATCTCAACCCAGATGCTGACGTTGGCTCCATCGGGACAGAAGGCGGTGCATCAACACAGGATCCCTGCTGTGGCCTTTTACAGCCACGTCCACTTCCTCCATTCCCCACACCCTCCCTACCTCCTGGCAACCACTAATCTGTTCTTCCTTTTTATAATTCTTTTCATTTCAACAGGATATAAACGGAAATGAATCGTATGCAGGCACACCTCGCTTTATTGCACTTGACAGATGCGGCTTTTTTTTTTTTTTTTTTTGACAAACTGAAGGTTTGTGGCAACTCCATGTAGAGCAAGCCTATTGGTGCTATTTTCCCAACAGTATTTGCTCACTTCTTGTCTTTGTGTCACATTTCGGTAATTCTCGCAATATTTCAAACGTTTTCATTATTATTATATTTGTGTGGTGATCTGTGGTCAGTGAACTTTGATGTTGCTACTATGACTGCTGAAGGCTCGGATGATGGTTAGCACTTTTTAGCAGTAAAGTATTTTTATTTTAAAATATTTACTTATTTGGCTGTACTGGGTCTTAGTTGCGGTACACAGGATCTTTTAGTTGAGGCATGTGGGATCTAGTTCCCTGACAAGGGATCGAACCCAGTCTTCCTGCATTGGGAGCGTGGAGTCTTAACCACTGGACCACAAGGAAAGTCCCACAATAAAGTATTTTTAAATTAAGGCATGTACGTTGTCTTTTTGACATAATGTTATTGCACACTTAATAGTCTACAGTCCAGTGTAAACATAACTTTTATCTGCACTGGGAAACCAAAAATATGTGTGACTCACTTTGTTGCAATATTCTCTTTATTTCAGTGGTCTGGAACCAAACCCTCAGTATCTCTGAGGTCTGCCTGTAGCATTCGACCTTTTAGGATTGGTGTTTTTCGCTCGGCATAATTTTCTGGCGACTCATCCAGGTGGTTGTGTGTATCAATAACTCATTTCTTGTTTCTTCCATCAGTGTTGTACAGTTTTCTGTGTCCAAATTCTGTATCTGTTTTGTTAGACTTGCAACATTTTGTGAAGAATTTTTTAAAATTTATTTATTTATTTATTTTTGGCTGCGTTGGGTCTTTGCTGCTGCACGCAGGCTTTCTCTGGTTGCGGAGAGCGGGGCCTATTCTTTGTTTTGTGGTGTGCGGGCTTCTCATTGTGGTGGCTTCTCTTGTTGCAGAGCACGGGCTCTAGGTTCGTGGGCTTCAGCAGTTGTGGTGCATGGGCTCAGTAGTTGTGACTTGTGGGCTCTAGAGTGCACGCTCAGTACTTGTGGCACACAGGCTTAGTTGCTCTACGGTATGTGGCATCTTCCCAGACCAGGGCTCAAACCCGTGTCCCCTGCATTGGCAGGTGGATTCTTAACCACTGCACCACCAGGGAAGTCCCTGTGAAGAACTTCAAATGGTATGTATTTATTGTTAATGTACAGAAATACAATTAACTTTTGGAAAGTTTATATTATGTCCTGTGACCTTGCCAAACTCAAGTATTAGTTTTAGGAGGATTTTTATTTGTTTGTTTGTTTGTTTTTAGATTCCTTGGTATTTTCTATCCACAGTCAGGTCATCTGCAAGCAGGAGCAGTTTTATATCTTCCTTTCCTATCTGGATGCCTTTTATTTCCTTTTCTTGCCTCATTGCTCTGGCTGTTACTTCCAGCACTGTGTTGAATGAGTGGTGAGAGCAGACCCCCTTGTCTTATTCTTGACCTTGGAGGAAGAGCACTTAGTCTTTCACCATTAAGCATAATGCTAGCTGTAGGTATTGTGTAGATGCTCCTTATCAAGTTGAGGAGGTTTCTCCTTTATTTCTGTTTTTAGAACTTTTATCATTAATGAGTGTGGTATTTTGCTGAATGCTTTCTCTGCATCAATTGCTATGATCATGTGATTCTTATTCTTTAGCCCATCAATAGGGTGGACTACTGTGATTGCTCAGTAAACACTGAACCAGCCTGGCATCCCAGGAATAAATCAGCCTTGCTTATGGTGTTTATAATTATCTTTATGCATCGATGAATTTTATTTGCTAATATTTTGTTAAGGATTAGTGTGCCTATATTTATGAGGGATAGTGTTCTGTGATTTTATTTGTTTTGTATTGTCTTTTTCTGGTTTTGAGAGCCGAGTAATTCAAACAGTATAAAACAAACTGGGCAGTGTTTCCTTCTCTTCTATTTTCTAAAGAGATTGTATAGAAATGGTGTTAATTCTTCTTTAACAATTTTTTAGAATTCCTCATTGAAACTATATGGGCCTAGAGATTTCTTTTGGGGGAGTTTTTAAATTATGAAATAAATTTCCTTAATAGAGTTATTCAAATGATCTGTTTCATATTGGGCAAGTTGTGGTAGTTTGTGGTTTGTTTTTTTTTTAAGTGATTGGTTCATTTTACCTAAGTAGTCAAATTTATGTGCATACAGTTGTTTGTAATATTCCCTTATTATCCTTCTGATGTCTGCAGCATCCTAGAAATGTCCCGTTTCATTCCTGATATTGGCAATTTGTGTTATCCTTGTCAGTGCTGCTAGAGTTTTGTCAATTTTATTGATCTTTTCAAAGGATCAACTCTTTCTTCATTGATTTTCTCTATTATTTTTGTTTTCAATTTCATTGATTTCAGCTCTTATTTTTATTCGTTTCATCCTTCTGCTTGTGTTGGGTTTACTTTGTTTTTCTTTTCCTAGCATACTGGGGTTTGAGCTTAGATTATGGATTTAAGACCTTCCCTCTTTTCTAACACATATATTTAGTGCTATAAATTTCTTTCAGCACTGTTTTATCTGTTTACAAGTTTTGACCTGCGGTATTTTATTTTCACTCAGTTCAATGTACTTTTTAAAATTTCCCTTGAGATTCTTTTTTTTTTCCCCCATAGATTATGTATAAGTGTGTTACTTGGTTTCCAAGTGTTTGGAGGTTTTCCTATTCTCTCTCTTATTGATATCTAGTTTGTATCCACTGTGGTTGGAGAATCTACTCTGCATGACTTCAAACTTTAGGAAATTGTTGAGGTTTGTCTTATGGCCCAGGATGTGGTCTATCTTGGTGTATGTTCCAAGGGCACTTGGAAAGAACGTGTATTCTGCTATTGTTGGGATAAAATGTTCACTAAATGTCAGTCAGCTCCTGTTGGTTGATGGTGTTGCTGTTTCTTTTATTTCCTTGCTGATTTTGGGTCTAGTTCTTCTATCAATTGTTGACAGAAGAGTGTTGAAGTCTCTAACTGCAATTGTGGATTTGTCTATTTTTCCTTTTAGTTGTATCAGTTTTTCTTTTACATATTTGTAGCTTTGTTGTCTGATGCATACACATTTAGGATTGCTATGTATTCTTGGTGGACTGACCCTTTATTATTACATATTGTTAGTCTCTTTTCCTGGTAATTTTCTCTGCCTTGAAGTCTACTTCACCTGATGTAGCCCCGTATGCTTTCCTTTGATTAATATTTGTATAAAATAGATTGACATGAATTTCTTGTAGATAGCATAGAGTTGAGGCATGTTTTTAAATCCATCTGCCAATCTCTGTCTTTTCATTCAGTTTCATTCAACAGTCTCGTTGTACCAAGAACTAACTTTGTGGTTCTTAGTGTGATGAATGATATTCTATTGAAGCCTGGGAATTATCATGCTATGAGACTCTGGATCTTAAAAATTTTCTGCTTTAGTTGTTTTATTTTAAAACAGCTTTCCTGAGGTATAACTGATATACAAGAAACTGCACACATTTAAAGTGTACAGTTTGATGAACAATCAAGGTAATAAACATATCCATCCCCTCCAAAAGTGTCCTGCTCTTTGTCCAGTTTTGTCTTCTGACACTGCTCTGGAACCTTGTGATGTCCAGGTTCCTCACTCAGGCTCCACCGACACCCACAGCGGATCCTTTCCTCTACTCTGGGCAGGGCCCTGACTCCCCATGGGGGTGGCCCCTGATTGCTGGGTGGCACAAGTCCTGGCTCCCACCTGGCCTCCTCTGACGCCTCTCCCCACAGGGAGGGGCTGGGTGCCTGTTACAGCTTCTTGGTGGGCTTGGGGGTTGTGCTGTGGCCTGTGCCATTGGCACATGCCTGAGAGGCCTCGGTGTGTTAGACACTGGACAATAGAAAACTACTTCTAGATCTGAGCTGAGTGTCCGCCAGGCCTGGGGCATGGTCCACCCAAGGGGCTCAGACCTGGGCTGGAACCAGAGGTTCCTTCTGGCTGCACTGCCCCCTGCCCTACACCCCCAGGGCCTAAGGGCCGAGTGACCTCTAGAGCAGTTCCTGGGGCTGGAGGTATGTACTTCCCAGAAACCCTCCTCCAGGCTTCATTGACTCACAGGGGACTCCAGCCTGTCTTAGACACAAGCTGTCCAGTTGGCAGGACTCCAGATCACCCAGAACTCTCTCAGAACACCTGAGAGGGAGTTACACCTGAGAGGGTCTTGCTGGACATTCAGTCCAGTTGGGGCCCAGGGAGGGGCCGCCCGACCCTCAGAGGCTGGCTGGGCTCAGGACTTCGACTGGCGCCAGACACCTGGGTGTCCTGTGACACCTTCTGGAGTCAAAGAAGGACCCCCTCAGCACCCTGCCTCCAGCCCACGGAGTGTGATGCAGGCTGAGGAAGCCCACCTCCTCCGGGGACTCCTCCCCTTCACCCCCCAGCAGCCTCTGGGATGGTGCCGTAGCCAGAAGGCAGCGGGTCCAAGCATGGCCCAAGGTGGCTCAGATGACCGCCCCCCCACCGCTGGTCCAGGTAAGTGCGCCTTTCAGGTTAAGAAAATACTCACATTCCTGTCCAAAGACAGACATAACTATCTACAAAACTATCGTGTCTGGGTTTAAATATGCTGCCAATTGCTAATATTTATAACTCAGTTAAAGGGATAAATCAAAGACCTAGAGATTGTCTTGTTCCCCAAAGAGAGCCCAAGTGAGTAACTAGTTGTGTGATGCTTCAACTGGGTTCTCTGTTCTGATAAAGTGCGTTATTACAATAAACGAATCTGGGTCAGTTGGTCTCGTCGACAGGCCTTCTGCTTGTGACCTACGTTCACCTCAGGGCTCCTGCTCCTTGTGAAGGTCAGGAATTGGACCTTGTGGAAGAGGTGTCAGAAGGACGTTTCTGGGAACCGTGACAGCCGTTCCAGGCGGGGCCGATGGCACCATGACCAGGTGTGGGTCCCAGGAGCGGGTGGGCCAGAGCAGGGCACGCATGAGCCTGCTCCTGCCCACTGCTGTGGGCTCCACCCGTGACTGCTTTTATCTCCTTGGGGGTCCCACAACGGCCCAGGTCCTGCACAGCCAGTGGACACCTGCTGTTTAGCCCAAGACCCTGACCAACAGTCACCAGGTGTAGAGCAAATTCTTCAAAATCCAGCAAAGCTGAGCCAACTGTGTCTGGGTCAAAGGAAAGGAGGCCTGGCCACCTGAGAAAGAGCCACATCAAACAGTCATGATGGTCGTTCATTGTGACGTGCTCCACGTGTGAAGCAATCCCTGGTCTCAGGGTTTACTGTGGAGCCGTCGCTGGGAATGTGAGCTTGGGTTCTAGAAGGAGGTGACACAGCCGCTGTCCCAGCAAATGGCCCAACGTCACAGGCGTCACAATCGTTTTGGAGCCATTTTGACTTGACACATGCATGACCAGTGGTGCAGGTCTGGATAAGCTGTGGTCCCAGGATAGAATGTCCTCCTTCCAGAGGTGACCGGGAGAACGGCCGGGAGAGGAACTGCTGAGGCCCTGCTGCCTACAGGCTGTGGGGAACTGAGAATCGAAACAGAAACATAAGGTCCCCGACTAGCAAACACGAACCTGCCCGACCAAGCACAGTGGGCGCCCTGTGTAACGCCAGATGCTCTAAAATAAGCTGTTGTGATGGTCTCAACGTCCGAGTCCCCCAGATTCATGGGTGGAAATCCTACCCCCAAGGTGATGGTGTTGAGGGGTCTTCAAGGTGACCGGATCAGCAGGGTGGGGCCCGCATGCCGGATTAGTGCTCTCATAAAGGGGACCCAAGAGCTCCCTCATCCTGTGTGAGGACACAGCGAGGAGGCACCAGCCATGGACCAGAAGGCGGTCCCCACCAGACACAAATTTTTGTCTGCTGTAGTCTGGGTGGCCTGTGGTATTCCGTTACGGCAGCTGGAATGGACAGATGGGCCTGGACAGACTGCCTGACGGTGGCACCACATGAGCTGTGTGTTCTAGAGATGGTCACTCACTCTTCCAGCAAGCTCTATACCCCCTGCCACCAAGACGTCCCATAACTAACTCTAGCCCCAAACCCTGGAAGTCCCTCCCCCACCCCCAGAGACGCCCTTCAGACCCCGAGGTGTGCAGGCTCCTCCTGCCTTGCTGACCAGAGATGGCCCCTGGTGATCTCTGTCTGAGGGACACTGACGCTGGTGAGAGGCAGAAGAAAAAACTGAGGAAACAGAGGAAACGTGGAGCAGCATACACAAAATGCAGCTCTGAGGAGCCATAACGAAAATACCAAGCAGTTTGACTTCATAAATACTTAGACTTCTCTAAGACAAAAGACACCAAAATGAAAGTTACGAGAGAACTGGCAGGCCGGGAGAAAATGTTTGGAACACACATAACAGGCGAAGCATTGGGAGCAGAGTCCATACAGAATCTTTCCTTTTCAGTGGGGCCTTCTGATGAGACCACAGCCCCGACTGACACCTTGATGGCAGCTTTGTGAGAGACGCTGAGCAGAGGCCCCAGTGAAGCTGCACCCAACCTGACCCGCAGACACTGTGCTGTTTAAGCCACTGAGTTTGTAGCGTGTTGTTACACAGCAGTAAATAACTAATACAACTTCCTTAGTGGGATCTCAGTTCCCCAACCAGGGGTTGAACCTGGGGCATGGCAGTGAAAGCCCAGAATCCTAACCACTAGGCCACCAGGGAATTCCCCACCTTCCTAACTTGATGACTCCTGACGTACCTCACTTTTGTTTTGCTTGTTCCCAACTAGAACCTGCAGTTAACTCACAAGGGGCCAGGAGGCCTCTACCTGCCCACCTGGAACATGCCAGACGGCCTGGCCCCTTCTACTGTCCACTTTACTTTCACAGGTCAGGAGCAGGAGAAAGAAGTGACTATAGGGGGGCCAGTCTCTGTGGTTCTGTCCACGCCTCAGTTTGAAACCTAAACAAACAAGAACAGACATCCACTGAGCGACTTGGAGCTGCAGGGAAGGAGGCAGGGGGCAGGACGGGGCTGACTGTAGACTCCAGACACGCCAGCAACTTCAGGATGTTCCCACGATACTGGCTGCATTTGTTAAAAATACCTTCAATTCCAAAAATTACAGAGTGCAACCAATCCTGTTCATTCAAGCCAAGAAAAACACACCGAGTCAAACACACTGCGTGCCTGAGGGGGGTCTACCAAGGGGAGGAGCCTGCAGGTGCCCTGCAGGCCACGCGCCGCCCCTGCACCCACAAAGCGAGCCCGGCTCCCCACAACTTGGCTGCCTCCAGGGGCTTCTGGGCGGCCCCATGCCCTCTGCCCCCTCAACTCCAGTCCAAACAGGCTCTTTTATGCCGGCAGAGTCCTCACGGGGCACCAGGAACACCCTGGGCAGGGCCGGGTCCCTTGACCCCATACCCAGGGAAGAAAGCAAATCGCTGGTCTCCCTTGGCGCTCCCCTGGAGTAGGGGGCCCGCTGGCTGCAGAATCCCGGGCAAAGGAAAGGGAGTGTCCCAGGTGAGAAGGACACGGTGGACTGAGTGTGACTGTCACCTACAGCCTCTGGCCTGACCCTACAGACAGGAGATCCCGAGGCTGTCCAGGTGGCTGTGAGGCCCCAGGTGGTGCCTGGACCTGAATCAGGCCGCCATCCTCCGAGCGCCCGTGGTGCCCTCCCTCCACTGCCCACGGCCTCTGCTCCCGACCCGGCCGGTCTGTGTGCTCGGAGCTCCTCATCTCCTGCTCCCCCGCAGCAAGCCCGGGGACAACAGCTCGAAGGAACACGTCCTGCAGGAAAGGGGCAGGGTCTCTGGAAGGAGAAACTTCCTCCTGGGCTGTCCTCGTGCCAGCCCACCCCCACCTTCAGGTCGGATCTCCTGGTGGTTTGCAGTGAAGGGTGCGCCTGCCAGTGACTGGAGGTGACTGTGCCCGAGAGCCTGGGTGAGGCTGCAGGGCTGCCGGCTGAGCGGGGTCAAGGAGCAGCCTGCCCGCCCGCGCCTGCTCTGTGCCTGGAACCACGGCAGCCGAGCCTGCGCTGTGACCCAGCCTCTCTGGGCTCACATTTACTTTTATTTTTTAAAATGTTTTAATAGACTTTATTTTTAGAGCAGTTGAGGGTCACAGCACAATGGAGCAGGAAGCACAGAGATTTCCCACGTCCCCGACCCCTCAACACACAGCTTCCCCCACTAGTGACATTTACCGTAGAGCAGGACATTGAGACAATTGACGCACCTACGCTGACATGCCTTCATCACCCAGAGTCCATGTCTGCATCAGGGGTCATGCTAGTACATGCTACAGGTTTGAACAAATGTTTGATGATGTGTATCCACCATCATAGTGTCATACAGAGTAGTTTCCCTGCCCTAAAACCTTCCTGTGCTCTGCCTGTTCATCCCTCCCTCCCCCAGCCCCTGGCAACCACTGATCTTTTTACTGTCTCCATAGTTTTGCCTCTTCCAGAATGTCGTGCACTTGGAATCATACAGTCTGCAGCCTCTTCAGGTTGGCTCCTTTCACTTGGCAATTTGCATTTAAGGTTCTGCTATGTCTTTTTATGGTTTGATAGCTCATTTCTTTTTAGTGCTGAATAATATTCCATTGTCTGAATGTACATGGTTTATCTATCCATTCACCTCCTGAAGGATGTCTTGGGTGCTTCCAAGTTTTGGCAATTATGTATAAAGCTGCTGTACACACCCCTGTGCAGGTGTTTGTGTGGACATAGTTTTCAATTCCTTTGAGTAAATAAATACCAAGAAGCAGGACTGTGGATCGTAGGGTAAGAGTGTGTCCAGTTGTGTCAGGCCCTGCCAGACTGTCCTCCTATGTGGCTGGGATATTGTCCATTCCCACCAGCCACGAATGAGAGTTCCTGTTGCTCCACACACATTTGCTTTTTAAAGCAACACTTATTATTTAAAAAAATATTTTTTAAATTTTATATTGAAGTATAGTTGATTCACAATGTTGTGTTAGTTTCTTCTTAAAAATTTAAAATTTTATATTGGTGTGTAGTTGATTCACAATGTTGTGTTAGTTTCATCACTTATTATTTTTTTAGTATAAAATGTCTTTGTAGAAAATTTGAAAACCTAAAGGAAAACATAAAGAATAAAATGAAAATCCCTAGTGATTCCCTGACCCTTCACCTGTTCATCAGATAAATGAGCATCTCCCTGGAGGGGTGTGTTCCAGGGCCACCCAGCAACCTGCCCGACCTGTCCTCACGTGGGGGAGGCTGCTGACTGACCAAACACCAAGCAGGTCCTCCCTACAAGCCGCTCTGCACGTTTAGGCAATAGGCCGTCCCACTCCTGGCTGGTGCTAACAGATCCCAGCCCCATAGCCACACGCATCCTGCCAACCTGACTATAAATGCTGGCACAGCAATCTCCGGGATTCCGCCAGTCCCCTTCTGAGAGCAGTCTGGTGTTCCCAAGATGCGACCCCGTAGATGATCCAACAGTGAAACCCTGCTTCACAACTGGTCACCAGCTCAGGCTGTCACTCCCGGCCACTGGACGAACAGCTGGGGCATTTGGGGTGTGATTTTATGTTTGTATTCATCTTGATAATCTAAAGGGTTTCTAAATCTTATTATTCTATTTCATTTCTAGAAGGACAAGATTGTAATATCTGGCATTTTTGTTCAAAGAGAACAAAATAATTTAGAAGTAAGTGAGTTAAGTGGGAAAACACCTTCGAATGTGCACTTCCACTCAGCCACTTTTTTAATGGAAAGTCTTCATATAAATAGAGATATTTATCTATATGTGAGAAAATATTATCTGCAGATATATGTATCTAACATCATCTATTTATCTATATCTATGAATGAGATAATATTAAATGGAACCCCATATACTCATCAGCTAATTGTTAAATTATTAACATTTTGTCATATCTGCTTCATCTCTTTTTTTCCCTTTGCTAAAGTATTTTCCAGCATGGCCCAGACACATTTTACCCTTAAATATTCTGGGACACATTAAAAGGTGAAAATTTTACAATATGATCACAATACTCTCCTCATATCTGACAATGTAAAAAACAGTGAAACACAATTCCTTTCAATCATCCAACATCAGCTCACACCGGCTTCTCCCCAAGGGTTCCCAGGACGCCCCTCTGCCTTGACGTATAAGTATTTTGAAATCTGGACTCCATCTCGCTCTGAGACCAGGCCCCATCTCCTAACCCCTGAGCAGAGTGAGGGCCACAGAGTCAGACACCACCCCCGTGTGTCTCCTTCTGTCCCGGAAGAAGGGAAGGTGTGGGGAGAACTTTGCCCCACCAGGCACAACTACACTCCAGCAAACCTACCCATAACCAAAAAGACATTTATTTTACTTTGGAAGAGGAGTTTAAAAAGAAACACAAATTATTTCAACCAAAGTGATTTTATTTTATTTTATTTTATTTTGCGGTACGTGGGCCTCTCACCATTGTGGTCTCTCCCGTTGCGGAGGCACAGGCTCCAGATGTGCAGGCCCAGCGGCCATGGCTCACGGGCCCAGCCACTCCGCGGCATGTGGGATCCTCCCAGACCAGGGCACGAACCCGTGTCCCCTGCATCGGCAGGCGGACTCTCAACCACTGCGCCACCAGGGAAGCCCCCAAAGTGATTTTTATTTTACCAATATCTTATCTATAAGGAAAATGGTCCATATCTACTCCTTAGAACCCTCACGCTCTGCAAGACACATTTCAAATGGGGCTCCCTGTAGAACAGGGTTCCCTCACGATTCCTCCAGTCAGCCAGATCTCTCTCTCTTTGGTTTGGATTTTCATTTTTTTTAAATGGCATGTAATTCATACATCATAAGATTCAAACATAAGATTCCTAAGTGTACAATTTATGGTTGTTAGCATATTTTAAAAGTTGTGCAACACCATGGGACTTCCCTGGTGGCACAGTGGATAAGAATCCGCCTGCCAATGCAGGGGACACGGGTTCGATCCCTGGTCTGGGAAGATCCCACATGCCGTGGAGCAACTAAGCCCATGCGCCACAATTACTGAGCCCGCACTCTAGAGCCCGTAAGCTACAACTACTGAAGCCTGCGTGTCTAGAGCCCATGCTCTGCAACAAGAGGAGCCACCGCAATAAGAAGCCCGCACACCACAAGGAAAAGTAGCCCCTGCTCGCCGCAACTAGAGAAAGCCCGCATGAAGCAACGAAGACGCAATGCAGCCAAAAGTAAAAAAAAAAAAAAAAAAAGTTATGCAACACCATAAACTATCTAATTCCAGAATTTTTTCATCACCTCTCAAAAAGCTCTGTAACCAGCTGTCACTCCCCATTCTCTCCTCCCCCAGCCCCTGGCAACTGCTAATCCACTTCCTGTCTCTGTAGCTTTGCCTACTCTGGACTTTTTGATGTAAACGGAAACACAATGTGTGGCCTTTTGTGTCTGGCTTCTTCCAGTTCAGCATCACGTTCTCAAGCTTTATCCATGTTGCCACATGAATCAGGACTTCGTTCCTTTTTATGACTGAATAATATTTCATTGTGTGCCTATACAACACTTTGTTTATCCATATTTCTGTTGATGGACGTTTAGGTGGTTTCCATGTTTTTGGCTTTTGGGAATAGTGTTATGAACATTTGCGTACAAGTGTTTGTGTGGACACATGTTTTCAGTTCTCTTGGGTGTATGCCTAAGAGTGGAATGCTGGGTTTTAAGGTAATTCTGCATTTAACTTTTTGAGTAACTGTCAGATTGTTTTCCAGAGCAGCCGTGCTGCTTTACATTCTCACTAGCAATGTGTGAGGGTTCCAATTTCTCAACATTCTTGCCAATACTTATTATTGTGTATCTTTTTGATTAAAACCGTCCTAGTGGGTGTGAAATATCTCATGGTGGCTTTGATTTGCATTTTCCTGACAGCTAATGACGTTGAGCATCTTTTCACGTGTTTATTGACCATTTTTATATCTTCTTTGGAGAAATGTCTATTCAAGTCCTTTGCCTGTGTTCGAAATGGGTTATTTGTCTTCTTATTGCGGAGCTGTAGAAGTTCTTTATATATCATGAACACAAATCCCTCAGGCCTGCACGATGAGATTTGGTTTCACCCTCTGAGCTGATGATCAGCTTTGCTTGTGGGCCTGTGGGCTCCCCGGCCGCACTCCAGCCCGAGAGCTACACGGGTGGGGAGCGGGCCCTCAGCAGCTGGGGTCTGGCTCCCGGCCGGCCCGGCTGGCAGGGTTGGGCGAGCCTCAGGTGTGTTTGGGGAGGTGGGCCAGGGAATGGGGGAAGGCCCTTCTGAGGTGCCCCCAACCAGCACCCAGAGCGGGGGTGGGGCGGTGTCCTCGGACACACTCAGGGGCACAGAGCAGCACCTGACCTGAGAGGGTCTGACGATCTGCTGCTCCAAAGGCCCAGTGCCAAGTGGGACGTGGAGCAGCCCAGCCCCCCCTAGGACACGGGTCTGAGGTGAGGCATGCTGAAGATCCCAGACCCCTTGTGAGAAGGCGCCTACGCCTTCTCACTGAGCCCTCACGTGGTCGTCCCTGTGTGTGTCTGGGCCCTAATCTCCGCGTCTTATAAAGAACCTGCCATATCGGAACAGGGCCCACCCTGAGGACCTCATTCAACTCCAGTGCAGTCACATGCTGAGGTCCTGGGAGTCAGGACAGATGAATTTTCGGAGGACACAACACAGCCCATAACAACGTGACCTTCATCTCGTCCGCCCACAGCACCCGACACACAACACGCACAAACTCACGCGTGTAACAGAAACGGTGTGCGGTAACGATCACGCTGTGACCCCAGGAATCACCAACTTCCAAGGAGAAACTCCGCGCATCCCGCGCGCATATCACCACTAGAGGGCGGTGTGCGCTCGTGAACGGAGGCCAGGACCCTCCGCGCTCCGTGAAGGGCCCAGGCCACCTTCATTTTTTTTTTTTTTTTCAATTGAAGTATAGTTGATTTACAATGTGGTGTCAATCTCTGATGTACAGCAAAGTGACTCAGTTATACACATATATACATTATTTTTTTAAAATATTCTTTTCCATTATGCTTTATCACAGGATATTGAACACAGTTCCCTGTGCTATACAGTAGGACCTTGTTGTTTATCCATCCTATATATAGTAGTTTGCATCTGCTAATCCCAAACTCCCAATCCTTCTCTCCCCGCCCCTTGGCAACCACAAGCCTGTTCTCTATGTCTGTGAGTCTGTTTCTGTTCCATAGATAAGTTCATTTGTGTCGTATTTCAGATTCCACATATAGGTGATACCATATGGTATTTGTCTTTTTCTGACTTACTTCACTTAGTATGATCATCTCTAGTTGCATCCATGTTGCTGTGAATGGCATTATTTCATTATTTTTTTATGGCTAGCATTCCATTTTATATATGTACCACATCTTTATCCATTCATCTGTCGATGGACATTTAGGTTGTTTCCATGTCCTGGCTATTGTTAATAGTGCCACTATGAACATTGGGGTGCATGTATTTTTTTCAATTCAGAGGCGACCTTCTGAGTGTCCCTGTCCCTCTCCCTCTCCATGCCCTGTGACCTCACTGAAGGCACCTGCTGACCCAGCATCTCTGGAGCGGACCCGGGCACCTCCTGTCCTCAGCAAGGGGAGAGGCTCCTGCCATGCACATGCCCTGTGGGATGGTCCCCCTGTCCTGGAGGTGGATCACAGGTACTGACACAGCACAGATTCCAGAAAGACTCAGGGAAGAGTGATTCCAAGCAGTGGTGTCATCACTAGTAGCCCCGGCAGTCAGTCAGGAAGGGACCTCTGCCCCTTCTCTTGACCCTCCTGCCCCAGCCTGCAGCCACGCCTCCCCCTGACCCAGGACTCCCAGTGCCGCCTCTCGTTCAGTGACCCTTAACTTCGTGCTGTGCAGTGCAATCAAGGTGGCCACTGCGGGTGGTGACCTGGGGGTCTGGGGAAGCTGTATGTAAGCCCAGTTTTCTCCAAGAGGCCGCTGTCTACCTGTGCTCTCAGGGGAGCAGGCTCCCATCACAGCATCTGGCTGGTTTCACAAACTGTTGCAAAGTCTGGGATTCAGGGCCCCCACGCACCCCCATCAGATTGGCCTCCGCCTCGAGAACTGGTGGGTCCACTGGCTGCAGGCGGGGTGCCAGTCCCCGTGAGCACACGGGGCCACCACACGTGCCGGGAGCCTGAGGGAAACTAAAGGGAAACTCTTGGCTATAATGACTCCGGATTTCAGCCAAGCCTACTCCAAGGGTAAAAACATAAATAAATAAAATGCTAACTTTCACAAAGGCAAGAGGCTTTCAGATTTCTAAAACACCCCTCTTTGCACCCATGCTCACGGCAGCATCATTCACACCAGCCAAAATGTGGAGGCAACCCGGGTGTCCACAGACAGAGGAACAGAGAAACACAGTGGGATCCACACAAAGGAATATTATCCAGCCTTGGAAAGGAAGGACATCCTGACACATGCCACTTGGATTGACCCTGAGGACAGTGCGCTAAGTGCCATGAGCACACCACAAGAGGAGGAGCCCTGCGTGATTCCATGTGTGTGAGAGGTCCCTGGAGGAGTCAGGTTCCCAGAGACACAAGTGGGACAGTGGGGGCCGGCGCTGGGGAGGGAGACAGGGAGTCAGTGTTCAATGGGGACAGAGTGTCAGTTTGGGAGAATGAGAAAGTTCTGGAGGTGGATGGTGGGGATGGTCGCACAACGATGTGAATGTACTTAATGCCACTGAACCGTGCACTTTAAAATGGCTAAAACACTTAATTTTATGTTATGTATATTCTACCATAATAAAAAATGACAATGTCAAAAAGTCCCCCTCATCAGGAGGTGCTCCATCAGAAAGGACCCTGAGGCCCTCGGCATGCCCCCCACCTGGTCCAGCTCTTCGCCCCTTTTCCTTCCCACCATCTGAACAGCACCCCACCTGCGAGGTGCCCAAACGTTTCAGCTCCAAGTGCGATGCTCTTGGACCCTCACCCTGGCTTAGCCTTCAAGGGCAGTGCCCCACCTGCTGTACGGTCATCAGGACCTCGGGCTGCAGGTCCATATGGTAAACGCTGCCCTGTGATCAGACCTGGCACAGCCTGCGCGCCGCAGGCCAGGCCCTCCCAAACCCGCCACCAACCCCACCACTGGCACCGGCACTGGCACCGAGTGCGCAGAGGGGCTTTCACTCGAGGTGGATGCCGGCCTGGCCGCTAGGCTGGGGGATGCCTAGGGATCAGTATAGCTGAGCGTCCTGCCGACGCCCCGGGTGGGTTTCGCGGCTTCTCACACGAGAGGGTGGTAACAGGGCTGCACACTGTCACCCACAGAGCCCGGGGAACCGCAGGCAAGCAGCCCAGCACTGGGAACAAGCACAGGAGAGGAGAACAGCATTTAACTTGACAGAGATCTCGGTGATAAAAAGGCAAGTGGAACAATGAGGGGAAAGCCAGGACCAGGGGCGCAAGAATAATCCAACAGGGCTCTCAACCCAGCGCTTTCCTGAAGGGAAAAGAAACGCTAGGAAAACAAACTCTATTTCGTGGCGGCAACAATGAAACAATCTCGATTCTCCTGGGCTCCGTATTATTGGCCTCCAGAGGCTCTGTGTTTCTCAAGATTAGCCTTCCCTTGAGAAATGAGAAGAAAAGAAGAAACAGCAAATATTAGTTCCCCTCTCATGAGGTCACTCCTTGGAGCCGTCTTCTCCAGGGCCAGCTCTGCACAGTCCAGCGTGTGATCCTGGAGGCCAGACCCTCTCAAGTCAAGTGGGGGAAAGGCTGACAAAATACTCTTGAATTCCAATGAAGCAAAACAGGAACGGTCCCCAGCCGTGCTTCCTCCCCAGCATCATTGCAGGAGCTCCTTGGGCTCAAAGAACGGAACCTGGGCACCCGCCCCCCACGTCGTGGGGCAGCAGGTGGGCCAGCAGGGCCAGCACTGATTTTCAGTCCTGATTAGTCATTGTGTGTGAGAGAGATATTTTCAGCTGAAATAATAGACAAGAGTTTCCCTAGAGAAAATATACACGCTCATTTTTTGGAACCACTTAACACAACCCTGTACCAAGTAAAGGTACATTTGGAACAACATGACACATTTCTCTACTTGGAAGAACGGCTGGTACAAATTGATGTCACCACAATGAAGATGAATGTGCCTGTTTTATGAGGCTCCCAGGCCACAGGTGAACGGCGAGCCATTGTTATCCAACTGGTTAATATTATTTTTACATAAATCAAGGTAACGCCTAACGACTGCCGAGCCTCTAAATCAACCCGCCTTTTCCTATTTGGAACATAAAGTTGGGCTGCAGCCAAGGGCTTCGGGAAACAGAGGGCTGCGAGCGGCATCTCAATGAGGATCATACTGTTCATGGCCGGATGTGGGCTCTCGGCTCTCAGCCACTTGCCCAAGTTACTAGCCAGCCTGGGAGAGCTTCGCGTGGACACTGCCAGTGACGCAGTGCTGCTGGGGTTAATGCCTACTTGGGCAGCGACGCTAGGAGAAAGGGGGTGGGAGGGGGCGGCCGTGTCAAAGTGCCGCAGCCTTGGGCTGAAACAACAGTCATGTCTGAGATCGAGGTGTTGGTGGGAATAGTTCCTCCTGAGGCCTCTCTCCTGGGTGTGTAGATGCTGTCTTCTCGCTGTGTCCTCACGTGGTTGTCCCTCTGTGTGTCTGCGTCCATCATATAAGAACACCAGTCATATTGGATTAGGACCCACCCCAGTGGCCTCGTTTTAACTTTAAAGGCCCATCTCCAAATACAGTCCCATTCTGAGACACTGGCGGTTAGGACTTCAACACATGAATTTGGCAGCAGGGGGTGGGGTAACACAATTCAGCCCATAACCAGGGGGCACAGGAAAACGCTGGCATCTTTTTGCTGTTGTAAAAGAAGATGGAAAGGAATGGACAGTTCCCGACTCCCTGCTGTTCTCTCCACTCTGGCTCAGAAACAGCAGCAGAGCAGGGAAGAGAAAGGAGGGCGACAGCAACAAGAAATTGAGTGAATTTTTTTTTTATTTTTTGCCACTCTATATTATTTTCCCGTATAAAAGAGGAATAGAATAAAATAGATAACTAATAAGGACGTACTGTATAGCACAGGGAACTCTACTCAATACTCTGTAATGACCTATATGGGAAAAGAATCTAAAAAGGAGTGGATAAAAATAAATAAATAAATAAAAAGGAGTGGATATATGTATAACTGATTCACTTTGCTGTACAGCTGAAACTAACACAACATTGTAAATCAACTATACCCCAATAAAAATTAAAAAGGGGGGGAATAGATATGATGAAAATAATTGTAAAAGATACAGAAAAGCAGCAATAACAATTATCCTTATTTCTTTTAGATCGAGGGCTTTTTTGAGGTACAATTGACACACAACATTATATTAGTTTCAGGGGTGCAACATAATGATTGGATGGTTGTAAGTATTGTGGAATGATCACAGCAAGTCTAGTTAACATCTGTCATCATATGCACTTATGGAATTTTTTTCCTTGTAAGGAGACCTTTTTTTTTTTTTTTTTTTGCGGTACGTGGGCCTCTCACTGTTGTGGCCTCTCCCGTTGCGGAGCACAGGCTCCGGACGTGCAGGCTCAGCGGCCATGGCTCACAGGTCCAGCCGCTCCGCAGCATGTGGGATCCTCCCACACCGGGGCACGAACCCGTGTCCCCTGCATCGGCAGGCGGACTCTCAACCACTGCGCCACCAGGGAAGCCCCAAGGAGACCTTTTAAGATCTACTCTCTTAGCAACTTTCAAATATGCAGCACGGTGTTATTAACTATAGCTGCCATGCAGTACACTCCATCCCCAGGACTTATTTATTTTATAACTAGCAGTTCGTACCTTTTCTCCCTCACCTGTTTCATACACCCGTGAGCAACCACCAATCTGTTCTCTGTACCTATGAGCTTGTTTTGTTTTTTTAGATTCCACGTATAAGTGGAATCATACAGCATTTGTCTTTCTATGTCTGACTTATTTCGCTTTAAATAATGCCATTAAGATCCATCCATATTGTCACAAGCAGCAAGATTTCACTTCTTATGGCTGAATAATATTCATGTATATATATGAATATCATATGTGGGGCTTCCCTGGTGGCGCAGTGGTTAAGAATCTGCCTGCCAATGTAGGGGACATGGGTTTGATCCCTGGTCTGAGAAGATACCACGTGCTGCGGAGCAGCTAAGCCAGTGTGCCACAACTACTGAGCCTGCGCGCTACAGCCCGCGAGTCACAACTACTGAAGCCTGCGCACCTACAGCCTGTGCTCCACAACAAGAGAAGCCACTGCAACAAGAAGAGTAGCCCCCGCTCGCCACAACTAGAGGAAGCCTGCGCACAGCAACAAAGACCCAATGCAGCCAAAAA